AATTCATATGTTAACCATACACTTTGTTCACATTTATCAACTACTAGCAATAAATAAATTTATTATTATTAAAAAAAAATTTGGACAAAATTACATATTAAATCCAATAACATCGATTTTGGTTATTTTGTTGTAATTTAAAAATAAATATTATTCGTGGATATAAGAAACTTTTAAGAATATATTGACATATTTTTGTATTTTATACACACAATGACATTTTCAATTGTATTTTTTGGAGGGGAAAATGAATTTAACCTACTGTAGAAGATACTAATACCTAATACTAAAATTAATTACTTTAATCACAATAATATTATAAAATATGCCTATTGCCTACCTATAGTAATATTATAGACATACCGTCTCAAAATCTGGTTTTTCGTACACAATAATATTATTATACAGGGACTTACTATTGTAATTTGTAACCTAACTGTAAGCTATGTTACAGTAGAGCCTGGTCTGGCCGAACACAAGCCACTCCCGCATTTTATAATACCTAATCAGAAATCTAGGTTTTTATGTTTAATAATATTTTATATTACATATTTATTACTTATATGATAATATTTTAATTTATTATTTCACCATTTTAATATTAATAAATATATATTTTATACTAGCAGCGGCCCACCAGGAAATTTCCCAGCATCCCGGTTGTCCAGTCCGCCACTGATATATAGTATTTCTTATACAGAAAAATTTTAGTAATTAATAAAACATAAGTAACAATATTAATCTACAGTATAAATGTATAATTTTAATATGGGAAAATTTATGTTGATTTTGAAGRTAACAATTTTTTTTTTCATTTTGATTAGTAGTTTCTTTTTTTTTCAATTCTTTTTTGTAAATTTGCATTTTGATCTTTTAATCTGTGTCCACGTWGAGCTCCTTGTGCTGGTATTTGTATCGTTTGTTTAATTGATGGTAATATAACATTGTTGTTTGTAGTGTTTGTACACTTATCCAATTTTTTTATTTTTTTTTTGTTCTTAGTTTTTGTTTTTTATTTCTTCATTTAAATATCTTATGAATATAAATGTTCGAGTTTTCACTAAACTGAATACCACTTCTGTAGGAACATTGCAGCCTTCACAGTTATGAATAACCTGTAAATAATATTGAATTTTATATTATTTAGTTTTTAGTTTTTACTATTACCTTCCTAAATTAAAATGATTGTACCTACTGATTTGTGTTAAATTAATAAATAATATAAATTTAATTTATTCTCAATCTGAAAATAATGTATAAATATATGTACTTGCTAAAATGAATTGTTAAATACATTGGTTGGTATATATATTAAAATACCTGTGCACTTATCCTATCCAGAATTTTTGGTTTTTTTGAAAAATTGTCTCCATGTTCATTTTGAAATAATTTTTCCATTTCAAACGCTATTTTTTCTAGTTCTGGACAAGGATACAACAAATTTCCCTTTGAAATATACAGCAGCCATTCAGGTATATCAGTATGAATAATTTCTTTGCTTGGAATACCTAATGTTGGATATTTTGCTCTGAAATATTTGTAAAATGGTTTATTAATGATTTATAGAAAACATCTGTATGAAATCAGGTAATTTGTATATTATTATTTTTACTTGAATTTGTAGGCTGTATAGCCAGCTAAATATATTAATCCTGCTTTAGAAATTCTACCTACCAATTGACAAGCAATCTTCATTTTGAACTTTTATGCTTTCTTCTGGTTCCAATTCTGCATTTAAAGATGTATCATCAATTATAGCATCAAAAATAGATTGAGTCAAAACTATTTCTGGTTCATCTGTAGTTATGGTAGATAAAGATGATGGTGTGACAATGTTTTCTGTATTGGTGGTATCTTCTTTACAGTTTGTATGAAGWGTAAATACTGTGCTTGAGTGCTTACCTACATAAAATGTACTTTCTCAAACGATATATGAATTCCAAGGGATGAGGATTATCAAAATTACATCCCATTCCCCGCATGTAAGAAAAAAAGTTTCCAATATATCTTGATTAAAACGCTTTGTTATTAAATAACTAATATTAAAATTTTGTTTTCGATATGAAAAAATACCCTGAWTTGATGCATTTGTTAATAATATGCCATGTTGAAATGGCTGAAGTGTGTTATGTGATTTTACTACATCATTGAGTATTTTATTTTGGACATCTAAATCTATTCCATATGCATTTGACCCAGGATGATGTCCATATTTCATACTGGAATTTAAAATGTCAAACCAAGAATTTATATTAGGTTAATAAATGATGCTGTGAGTTTATTTCAATCGCCTAGTAAATTAGAATCTCCGGCCAATAAAATAGCTTGTGCCACATTACGCGACAATAGTTTTGTGGCACTTTTTACTCACTGTCTCTCATTGCCTTTTACTTGTAAAATTGAATTATTAAGTTTCCAACCAGTTTTTAACCCTTTTAGATGATTCTGTGTTTGTAATTCTACAAGTTTCTCCAACTGCTATATACATGATAAATTATCATGGCTATATAGTACCACAGATATATATAATATTGATTTTACAATGATGTGTGTTTTTTTGTTTTTTTTTTGTTTTTGTGTCTGTGTACAGCATAACTAGTCGAAATAATGCTTCAATTTCAAACTTTGGGGGTGGTTTCTGATGTAAAATTGAAGATCCTTGGTGCATTATAGAGGTCAAAAGTAAACATTTTCCAACAGTTTTTTCCAATCTATTTCCAAATCGATTTTTTTATATGGTTGTCATTCAAAAACTAATCACTGTAAATACTTGAAATTTTCAACAAATGTTTATGTTAGTGATATCTATATACAGTTTAATTTTGACTTTTTTGAGTTATTTATAGACCACTGAAATTTTTGATTTTTTTGAGAATTTTTTTTTAAGTGTCGGTAAAAATATGTTGGACGACCAAAAAAACTTGAAAATTTAATACAAGGTTCCTTATGAGTTGTTCTTATTGTAGCTAAAAAAAATTAAAAGTCGTTAGTCACTATTTTTTTAAATAAGCGTTTATAGTTCAAAATTTTACGAAATCTTACGAAAACGCAAAAATTTGCAAGTAATTTTGAAGTTGAAAAATCATAAAAATTTTTGCGTTTATAACTAAGGATTAAAAATACAACACTAAGTTTTCGATAAGTTTTCCTTTATTTAGCTAAAGAGAAAACTCGAAGCATCATTATAGGAAAAATTTTAAGTGCGTTTGAATTTTAAATTTTTTTGAAATAGCGTAACGATAACGATTTATCCTGAAACGATTTTAAATATTTGTTATTATTCAAAAAGTATAAGTCGTAGATACTTGAAAGTTTTATCAGTTATTTAGATTGGCATTTTCTTTACATGATTTAATTTT